GGTTTTTTTACATCCTGGTAACTTGAGCACATACAAGAAAAATGCCTTCAAGAGCTGCTAAGGTGCCTGCACTCAGTAAAAGCACTAGAAGTTAACTGCCCCTAGAAACCTTTACAAATATGGTATCAGGTGATACGTCTCTGAGCCTACAAGTGCATACATTGTACAAACCCCCTGTTTCCTTGTCCTTGTCCTTAAGTGTAGTGGGTGGTAAGACTAAGAGCATCTTAAAGCGGATCTGCTAGTTTTCAGACTAGCCTGGCATATATTTGCTTTTCCCTCATATGTATCTCTCACTTACGAGTTACCATTGAGTTTCCATTCTGGTGGACCTGAGCAGCAGATATTATCCTATGAAGATTTTTTCCCCTGAGTATCACCTGATGCCAAACACATCTCAATGCTGCCTCCTTCCTTTGATGAAAAAAGGTAATGCAGTTTTGTTAGTGCCACTCTGTAAGACAGTGTGTGGTAAGAAATAACTGAAAGATTGTTTGGAGAGCATCAGTAATTTGTGGTTAGCAACATAGGTATGTTTGAGTCAGGACCACAACTGGTAATTTCCTAAAAACAAATAAAACAAACCTTTCCAAGTCAGCTTGTTCTCGCTATGAAAAGCACTAGGAAAAAATCCAGCTTTCCTCTTTTTCACTAACTGTGAAAACTTACACTCAGTACAGTTACCCATGGTCAGCTGATCTGGGATATCTGTCCATATTTCTGTTCTCACCCACAGCCCACCTTTCCTGGAAAAAAAAGTCATAGGAGCTTAAAGGGGGCTATTTTATCTCCGATGCTGAAATACCCAGGTGGTCCATACTCTTTGTTATCAATAAAACATATTTCATATTGGCAGACTTTCTAAGCTACCAAGGAAGTGTGAGTGACAGGGAAAAGTTCATCAGGAGACAATGACAAAGAATGAAAGGTGATTTATTAGGAGATGTATACCCAATTACCTGGGAAAGCAAGGAAAGGAGCACTCTGCTCACTAAAAATAAATACACATTTGAAAGTGTTCATTATAAAAATGGCAGATATTTTCTCCTCAATTCAAGTGCTGTTGCAAAAGTAAATCTGCCAGATGTATGAAGATGACTAAGACACAGGAGGCTTGGAAAGTAGCATGTGAGAAGCAGAGGTTCTGCTTTAAAGTGATTAAAGGAAGTGAATATCAGAACTTCTCAAACTCTTCCAAGGTGCTACTTTCCCCCCTACTATGGCAAGCAGTCCTGTCCTGTCATGCTCGAGTGACTGCAATGCTGGTACGTGGAAAGGACAATTTACCCTCTGTTCTTCAGACCTTCTATTTTAGGGCACTGGTTTTAGTCTTTCCTCCTTGAAAAACAAAACTTAAATGAGCTTTTCTGCTCCCCATAGTCAGTTCTTTACAGCTATACTGCCCTGGGCTCTCACTTTTGGTTGAAGTTGATCTGAAGTTTGCTGCTGACAAATCTGCATCAAATAAGGATCACTAAAGCTGAAGGAAGTGCTAGAGGCACCATCACATATTTACTAGCTATATTTGCCATCAGCACTCCAATACATAGAAAGCAATAATATGTTATTAAACAAAGAAGCCTTCAAGCATCTCTGTTTATGCATGCAAACCTTTCTCAGGGAAAGCGGGCCACATTCAGTGAGACCAATGGTCTCTATTGGAATAGACTGAGCTACTCTGCAAAGGTTCAGAGGATCAGAGCTAAAGGTGTTAGAAATCTTAATGGCAGAGATGTATCTCACAGCAGTAAGATAGAAGCTGCCAACATCTCCTCACTGTCTTAAAAATGAAGTTGACCTAGACAACAATTGAATTTACCTTTTCCTTTTATCTACTCTTCACTCTGCAACTTGGAAAGCTTCTCAAATTTTCAAATTGATTTTCTCATAATTAATTTGACAATTAACTGTAACTTAGTAAGTATTTAGCAAGTATGCTCATTACGCAAATACCTACAGATCTCAAATATATCCACAGTCAAGGAATTTCATTAGAAGGAATTGCTGTGGATATTTCAGAATTGTTCTTCACTTGCACCAAGATTTGAAAAGCAAATCTTAGGATTACATTTCCTTTCACAGACCTCCTAGGTTTTTGAAAGATGTTGTAAAATAAAATTCCTCATTGATTGGAAACTCTAAAGCCCTCAAAGACCTTTTAAAGAAAAAGGGAAAACCTTTTGAAATTTATAGGACACTTCCAGGCTGATCCTGCACGTCCCTTGATGTCCGTATCACTCTTCAGCTTAAGGAAGCTGCAGGGAACATCACAGCCAGCAATGCAAACTGCCTTTGGCACGATTGTTCAGTGCCACTAAAGGTGCAACCCTAAGTCTCAATATCTCCGTTCTCCAACCCTTTTCCTCCCTTTAAACTATGGCACTAGTTCAGTTATCGGCATGTGCTTAGAGTCCTAACACAGCACAGGAGAGGGAACTGAGGCTGTGGACCACTGCCAGCAAAAAAAGGACAAGAAGAGCTCAGGATCACCACTGACTCCACTTCTCTGTCATCACAGGCCACTATGCAATAGCCTAATTAATGCCAAAAGCTCTACAGAACATCCCTTTCATGTATGTAAAACCATGCCCATGAGCCATAAAACATCCCATAACTTAACTGTGTGCATTCCTCAAGCCTCTGTAAGCACCCAGGCATATTTCAGGCTCCTTGTATTTTGTTTGGTTACACTGATGCTTCGGCTGATGTGTAGTACCATGTCCTTTTGGACTGAATTAATGGCAATAGCTAATGTTCGGAAAGAGCAAGTACAAAAGGAGGGGCAATTTTACTGTTAATGACCTTGACCTTGATACTTCTTGTTCCCTTGATTCATTCTTTTGCCTTCCCTCTTCATTCTTATATCTACTGATCCACAGCGCACTAAGGTTTCAGATAGAGAACCAAGGAACCATAAAGGTCAGTTCTTGCCACTTTGCTTCATTTGAGTGTCCCTCCTATAGCTATAATTACTGACATCTTTTGAAGTAGGGTCAGTTCTGTCCTTCTACCTTTTTTTTTTTGGCTGCTGTTGCTGTTTTCAGCTCTATCATGAACCATTCAGAGGAAGGTGAAAACACTGAAACGGAAAGACTTTGAAGGTCTATGTCAGTTTCTGTGATTGGTTATTTTTATTTTTATGGCTGCTTGAGAGGCAAAGCATTGGAAATACTTGGCCTGCACTTCTTTGTCAGAACCATTAAAATATCCAGGATCCTGACCCATTTTCTGGTTGGAAAATGAAGTTGCATCCACATTTTTTTCAAGAACAGGAATTCTCCCTGAAGTTTGATGTCAAACTTCCTTCCCTTGTACCCACCCCATCCAAAGGTACACTTCTTCCTCCCATGCCTTCCTTTCAGCATTGCTCAGTTCTTTGGCTTACTAGTGAGAAGAAAAATAGCTAAGGCAGCTTGGCCAGGGAGAAGTGGTGCCCACCAGCAGAAAGTCATGGCCTCTCTGATGCCATCATGACTGGTGAAGCTGCGCAGACAGAGCTCCAGTGGGATAATGCTGCCACCAGGTGTCAGCTGCAGCCTGTGCCGTGCTCTTAGGCTCGGCACCACTCTTAGGTAGCAGTGAGCAAAGCTGTGGGAGGTGTGCCCAGAGTCTCCTCCCCTTAGTGACAGAGCTGAATGAGGCGAGTAGATTGGGAAGTATCTGGGAGTCCAATGGACAGATAGACTTCTGGAATCACACCTACCTTCCCTGAGACAATCCCAGCAGGCAGACAGGACACATGGTACGCAGGATGTGCTATCTTTTCTCCACCTGGCAGAACACAGTCACTCAATGGAAAGGTGGCAATGGTGACAAGTTCCTGCCTGGCACAGATGGTTCATTTCCTCTGTGACTGCCCTGCCCAGGTGCCCATGGATAATAGGTATGAGGCTCTGCAAGCGCAACAGAAGAAGGTGGGGATGTCTGCTGGAAATGCAGTAGAGTGGAGAGAAAACAGTCCTGGGGGTTCCTGGAGTGTGTGACAGGTAACTTCCTGACAGAGTTGGTGAGTGAGCCAACTAGGGAAGAAACCCAATGGACCTGTTGTTTGTGAACAGAGAGGACTGGTGGCTGCTGTGATGGTTGGAGGCCATCAGGTTCAGCCATCATGAAATCATCATTTTGGATTCTCAGAGAAGGAAGGATTGGGAGCAGCAGAACTCTGGGCTCTGAACTTTGAGAGTTCTGGGGCTTTTTCATTCCAGCTGGAAGTCCTGAGTGGGTACACTTGTCTGCGGTGAGGATGATTCTACAGTCTGGTGCAATAGTAGAAAGTGGCACACTCCCTGTGAGTAAATTTTTTCTTTTTTAATTTATTTGGATTGAGTTTCAAGAACAGGCTGTCCAGGGCACTGGGAGGGTCGCCTTCCCTGCAGGCATTTAAAAGACATGTAGATGAGGCACTTGGGGATGTGGTTTAGTGGTGGGCTTGGCAGTACCAGGTTAATGGTTGCACTCAAGGAGCTTAGAAGTCTTTTCCAGCCTAAAGAACCCTATGAGTCCATGATTCTATCTGTCAGATAGAGCTAGTTCCACGGTAACAGCATTAGTTTTACCAAAAATTTCCTCTTGGTCAGCTCTTGGGGGCCAGGGCTTCAACTCCTTTAGCTCCTCGTGCTGACGTCCTAATGCTAACCAAGATGACTCAGAGAGAAGAATACAGTGAATCCAATTTCTTCTATAACAAAGAGAGTTAAAGTGTGTGAACTGATAACATGAGTATTTTTTGCCTGTCGCCTCCTCTCTCCTCTTCAAGACTTTCAGGGGCTTGAAACAGAAAAGAGATTTCCTAAAGAAAGAAAACTGAAGCAGCAAGTTCCATCTCACAGGCCTTGCTCTTTGCAGTCCAGGCTTGACTGGTTTAAAAGTGAGAGGAGGAGGGTGGAATGATGCTTCCGAACTTTGGAACGCTTGTGTTCTTTCTGTTTTCCTAAGCCTGACTTCCTGTGGCCTGTCCACCACCTGATCTATTTGGTCTCTGCCTCATAACTCCCTTTTTGGATGGGACTTGCCCATTTTGGACCACTGGTTTCCTCCTCCTCCCACCTTCTAAGTTCTCCCACCTTCTGTTTGAACTTGCTTTTCTTTCTTTACACCCATTACAGCCTGACCTCTGTGGCTCACAGATGTGCACAGAGAAGCTCCCAGAGGTGTGACATAGGACCAAAAGGCTTCTTTGAGCTGTCAGAGCACTGCAGCAGCACACTGATAAGAAGGGACAATTAATAGGGGAGAAGTAAAACAATTTTTCATCCACAGAATTTCAATGTAGAGCTGGGGCTTTCAGCAAGTGCATCAGTTTTCAAATGACACCCTCACCTGGAAGGTGGAGCCCAAGATTTCCTCCAAGGCTTTGGCACTCTCAGCTTGTTTTGTGAGTCCCTACGTTCTGTATATTTACAGCAGAGAACCTGCAGAGCTACAGGAGCTCAACAAAGAGACCTCCTTAGCAGCTGGGGTACACCTCAGTGTAAGGAGTTGGAGAGCTGAAAGGCAGAATTGTTACCACACAGTGTTCCCTGGGAAGCTGGAAATCAATTGTATCGGGGTGTGCCTTTGAATCAGACAGCAGCGATCATTTCACCAAATGTGTTTGCCTCACTAAGCACTACCAGTCCAGGATAAAGCTTCTAAAGGACACTGTGTTGTCCACCAATAGAGGAGAGTCCCTCAATGTCTGCACTAAATCACCAGGAAAACAAGCTAAGCCTCAAATCCTTATTACATGGAAGGGTAGAGCTCATTTCCAGATGAGTTTTGTGCCCTTTCTTTCCTTCCATGGTCATTCCTTTATTTTCTTTTTCAACTTGGGTCCCAGTTTTAGCTCTAGATTTTGATAGAGACCAATTGCATCTGATTTTCATGGGGATGACACATCTGCAAGTCATCTTACAGGTAGCACGGGATCTCGGGGCAGATCTGTGAAACTGTGGTTTTTGGCTCTTCTAAACCCACAGTCTTGGACTTTCCATGTACAGGGCATTCCAGAGCAGCGGGACAGGCTTCCAGTGATAGAGGTGAACTTTCCAGCATTTTTTGGCATTAGCTGTAGAGAACATTCAGGGGCTCTGCATACATCTGCAAGCAAAGCTAGAGCAGCTGCTGTTGTGATGTCACTGCAACCGTTGTCCTGGTGCACAGACTGTTGTCCTGGTGCATGGAATGTTGTCCTGGTGCACGGACCGTTGTCCTGGTGCATGGAATGTTGTCCTGGTGCACGGACCGTTGTCCTCGTGCACGGGAGCCTTCGTGTGCACAGTGTGTTTGGCGTGCTCGTTGCAGGAGGGTGCTCTTCATCGAGGCACTCACCTCCAGCAGGCTGCACTTGGACACCAGGGGTGTCCTTTTCTCCCTCGGCGTGCACAGGCTGCAGAATTCTTGCCCAGCATGGCTAAAGTGTTCCGGCGAGTCTGTGCCGCCTTCCGCCGGGTTTTTCCTATGGCCTGTGCTTTTGGTTCCCGCCCAGACAAACCCGGGCTGCTGACCCATCTAGCAAGTAAGTAGAGGTTTTTTCTAGGTGCAGCCAACCTGGCTTTTGGATCGATGTGTTGTTTATGCTGCCCCTTAGTGACTGCGTTGCCTTTGCAACCAAAATGCCCCGCAGATCCCATGGCTTTGGTAAAGCTCATGTCAGGGGCATCAGCTCCAAAGGGGGTGTCTCCAGTCATTCCAGGGGCTCTGGGCAGCATTTGTAATTGAACCCACAGGGTTCTGTTCCCTACGCGGGCTAGTCTGTGGCACTGGAGTCTGTAATTTCCTCATTTGCTGCTTCAGCCCATGCAACTTCCCAAATGCAGATTGGCAGAGCTCCTCAGAAGTGTCTCTAAAGACTGTGCAGTTCTCTCCAGTTTGCCCTACATTGCATCATTAATAGGTTGGACGGTGTGACCTGCCACAATGTTTGCTCAAATAGCTCTTGCTTTGGTGATGAAATGCAAAGTTGAAGGCAGTGTGTGCTCCCAAACTTGGGAGCTGTTTGTGTGCTGTGTCAGAATAGAAGTGTCGTGACTAAGGGGAAGTTGGGGGCAGCTTTATTGGGGAAAAGGAAAGCCAAGAAGAGAAAGGAAGAGAAAAAGGAAAAGAAAAAGGAAAAGAAAAAGGAAAAGAAGAAAGGGAGGGGAAAGGGGCAGGGCAGGAGATAGGGAAGGGGGTGGGGCAAGGGTGTAAG